GCTCATTGCCAATTTATTATGTCAAGGCATTCGGCGTGACAGCAACATCGCTTGGATTATGTTAAAAGGCGACATAAAAATTGACTAATGAGCATATTTATTTGGATTCCATCCCGAAATTTAATTTCAATTATGCTTCAAGCTCTCCCAGAGACGATGGTGACAAAGAAATAGAGCTCGACGCCACTGTCATCGTCTCCGATTCGTCTTCTTCCTGGCATGCAGCAAAAAATTTGTCAAAATGCTGCTATATGGATGCTACATTGTTCGAAAGGCACACAAAAAACGGGAGATTTATTATCTACTTCATTTCATGCGCTGAATCTAAAATTTCATTTTTCATATAACGCCAGATTATGCCTTGAGTAATAATAACTTACTAATATTTTTGAAATCAGAAATATTGCGAAATAAGTCACTTGTAAGCTATACTCTCAGTGTCTCAAAGCAAAGCGTTTCTCTACTGAAATCCATCACATCAAAACGAACAATAAAATCCCACGCTGTATTTTCATTTCAGCTACTCGGAACGCATTTTTTTCATACCCCATGTCTGGTCGCTGTAAATTCATGTAAATGCTATTCACATTGGTGGAGATTTTTAATGCGTTTGTTTTGCTGTTTTGGGGATAGCTCGCTTTTTGGATTCATTGTCAGACCGAAAATCGATTTTCTATGCGACAATCGAGTTTGTTTATTTATTTGTTCTGTATTCGTCTCCAAAAAAAATCTGCTAAGAAGTATCTCGTACATGCTAAATTGTGTTAGTTTTTTTTTGTAAGTCTATCTACAAGAATACAATTCAATCTACATGCAAATTCCCGCATTTTGCATTGTACATTTGAAAAGGAAACGAGAAAGCAAAACGTATTACACTCAATGTATTTGCTTTTATCAACAAATGCTCACACCAAACGATGAACAAAGAATGGTTTGATCCGAATTTTAAATATAAACCAAAATGTGCACACACCAAAGCCGGAATGAAAATAATCTACACAAATACAAGACAAACTTTAGAGACGATATAGTATCATAGCAAGCGCAATGTTTTCCATTTCAAACGGAAATACAATTGAAGTGCGATGAATTGCACGCATATAATAAATGTAAAATGCATTGAAGCGATGGAGCTTTGATTCGATTTTCTCTTCGACAATATCGTAGCAATTCCACATCACACATCAACAGAAGTTGATTCTTTGATCAATTTGAACAAACCCATTCTTGAATATCTTAATTGGGTCAGTTCGAAAAATTGACAGAAAAAAACCAAATAAAATCTTTTTGATCTGCCACAAAGATCTTCTTTTATCGAACAATTTTCGAAAATTCGATAGAACTATTCGAAATTAAATATCTTGAAAACCTCATTTGGTTTAATAAATTTGGTAAAATATACGGAAATGTAGGTCGATGAAGATATTTTTTTGCTCCGTATAAAATTAATTTGAGTTCTTTAATATGTCTTTGTATTCGTGACAAAGTGTCCATAAAATAAAATGCATTATAATGGCTAATAAAATTGTTGCTTTTTAACTTCATTTGGTTGACCATAGAATTTGTTGCGAAAAAAAGGGGGCATGTATTTTTATTTTCTCTTTTGTTGGGCACCGTTCAGAACGGTTCAGAATGTCCTTTGTACATCATTAAAATGATGTTTCTCAAACCAAAGGTTAAAAGTCTTTAAATTGCACATAATACTATGGTAAAAAGTGGTTTCTCCTGAACATAACGACATTGTTCGGTTGTGTGATGCATTCACCAAATAGAAGTCAGCGCCAACAAGGAACGTCTGAGTGAGAAAAAAAGGGGGCAAAATAACTATATCATTATCCTGGCTTATACTTTTTCATTATGCTTATGAGCGGTTGCTGCTTTTTTCAACGTCACCTCTTTCCCTCGTTGCATTTATAATGAAACAAATATTTGTGCTGTACTATGTTGTGGCATCAATAATACCACAATATTCGAGCAATGATGGTGTATTAAAATCGGATAGTGAAAATATTTGAAAAAAAAGGATGCACTTTTTTTAAAAATATAGGTGGAAATTTCTCTCTATGAGAAGGTTCCAATTAAAATGGCATAAATTGCAAAAATACGTCCAAAAAATGCATTATATTGAGCATTTTTTAAATTCCATCGATTTATTATATTAACATGTAAAAGTTTCCATTATAACATATTGTTGCATTTATCTAGTTCATAAATGTTTCCAATTAAAGTTTCTCGGCAAAACTATGCAACTTTTAACGGTATTTGCTAATTGATGTAAAACATATGAATGGGGTAGAATAAAAACTACTTCTCGAAAAATGTTTAAACACGAAACCTAAAAAAAACTTTCAATGAAAAGTGAATCAATTTTTTTTCGTCCAATTGAAGTGAACCAAAAAAAAATTGTTCAATAAAAGTGAACCCAAAAAAAAATTCATTTTAGTGTATTTTACACTGAAAAAACCGAGTGGAATTTTTTTTTTGGTTCACTTTTATTGAACAAAATTTTCTTGATTCACTTCAATTGGACAAAAAAAAATTGATTCACTTTTTATTGAAATTTTTTTTAGGTTTCGTTTTAAAATAGCAATTTTTCGAGAAGTAGTTTTTATTCTACCCCATTCATATGAACTATGCCATAACTTTCAAAGTGATTTCATATGAATTGTCACACATATTATGAAAGAACAATTTGCAACAATTTAATATATTGATGAAATATTAAATGAATGGCAACACATATTTTTGATATCAACTATGCAAAATTGCGAACCGGATGGGGTGAAATTACACCGCAAATATTAACATAACACTCAGTGACACCTATTTAGCTAGACGACACCAGGTGATAATTGCGGTTGAGAAGTTTGTGGCTATTTGCGTGGAAAAAAGTGTGATAAATGCCAAAAAGAGCATAGCAACTTTGACGTCTTTGTGCATAATAATAAATGAAACCCATTTATGAAGGGTCTCTGCTATTATGTCTGAGTGATGACATGGCAACGGAAACTTTTGTTAATACATATAATTGCTCTTTTTCTGATCTTCATTACAATAATGACACTGCAATCATTTGCACAGGCCAAGCAACATATAATCAAGCTGCAGGCTGTTAGTGGAAATGGGGGTAGCACAAAGCACGGATCAAGTTGCAAAAGAGAATACAAACTCAGCATAAGAATGTCGCCATAAATGAACACGTTAAATTAAATGATATGTCTGGCACTAGCAATTCTCTTATTGCCATACATCTTTCTGCGTAGCATTTGTTTAATGTACTATTTTTCATTTGGTACATATTTCGCTTTAAGGATACAAATCAAACGGAATAATAAATTTAATTACAATACAAAGTTTTATTTCGTCTGGCCCATTCAAATGTTGCAATAATATGTAACAGTTGACATTTAAATTTTTCTGCTGTGAATTTGATTAAATTTCATTGAAATTACATTCACGACATCTTCTTTTCCTCTTGGGTGTAAATAAATGCTTTTAATATGTTTTAATAAATGTTGATACATAGTAGTGTAAATCGAGTCCATTTATTTCATTAAACGAAAACCCACGACGATGACAACGATAAATGTTTTTTTTTCTTCATTTGTATCGCCAATTGGTGATATTATATCACCAATGAAAATCATATGGTAGTTGCATCCATAAGTAATTAGAACTTTTGTTGATTGTGTTAGACTGGCGATATCAAATGTTGACTCTTGGTAGCGACCATTTACGAATTAGACATTTGTTTGTTTCATCTAAACTTTTATATAGAAGTGGAAGTTCTAGCAGATCTATGTATAGATATGGGTCAAATTGTGTTTATGCGTTTGTGCACACTTCGAACTTGGTTGAACTTTCAACATTTGCTCACTCAGATAAATGACAGCGGTATGTTTTGCTGTTGGCACAAACGAAACGCGATTCTCTTTCTTGCTATTCATCACCACCCAGGGAATAGACATTTTTGGCTCTTGCTGCGTTTTCGCCGAGAAGAATTCCTCACATACTCTCCGTGCAAAGGTAAAACACAGTGTTCGCAAGACGAACAAAAAGAAGTCGCAGACTGGTGACAGCTTGAAGAGGCAGCGAAAGGGAGAGACACGGCTCACGAAAACACAATAGCGCCACCGAAGTGATTAGCATACCTGAGGGAAAATGCGAAAGAACGGAAAACTTGCCGAATACCGGGGTATCAGAAGTCAAACTTTCTGAAAAAAATATGCAACTGTGTTGGCTCAAAGCTTCTGCTAAGCGACCTACAAAAATAGAAATACTTAAGCAATTTGAAAAACAACGGGCGCATCAACAGTGATCTTTAAAATGATATTAAAGTTTGCGTCGTTAGACAAGGCATTTAAAATAATTGTTAAATACGCAAACCGTGCTTCTGCATTGACACTGCTATATTATTAAAAGTGTACTAGCGACTAACATCCGTTCCCACTTTATTTCTGGCATTTTCATAGCAGCAAATGCACATAAACCATTTGCATCTACAACACGGAAAATATTAATCACAAGGGAAATTCATGTTTGTCTCTTGTGCGTGTTTTTTTCTACTTTTCATGTTGAATATATTTGATGGAAGTGTGTAGCGAAACGGAACAAGTAGTTTATAAACTTACCCATGTAAAATAGAGGAAATAACCGAATCAAAAATAAAACAAACTCACATACACACACACACGCACATATTTCGATTATTTCGAGCGCAAAGTTTTTAAAATGAATTTGTTGTCGAATTTGTTCACATTGATTGAATCGTCGGTAACTGATGGCATGAGCAAATACACTTTTTCGCAGTGCATTTACAAAACACACCGACATTTTTTTTGCCATACTCAAGTATTTCTACCGGAGATTTTATTATAATACCCGACCGCCCTTTTTGCTTTTGCAACACGATAATAATAAATTTCTATATTGTTTACATAATACAAATGCGGCGAAACGACGCAAAAGTAAAAGTTTTGAAATTAATTCTCATTAATTACCTGTCTTTGTCGCTGGATTTAAAGTTTCCTCGTCCTGCAAAAGAAATAAAAAAAAATCAGAATTATGTAAAAAGTCTTTGAACTCTCAGTTTTAAAATTGAGATTAATTCAAGCGAACGAACCACTTTCGTCTATTTATTCAAACCGTTTAATAAGCAAAAGGTGACAAAGGTCATACCAAGTTATCAGCAATCAAAGAATGCATATACTCTTTTTTTCATATAAGTAATATGATAGGTTGGGAAATATCTACTAAAATTCTACTATTTTGTTTTATTATTTGATAGTTTTTTTCATGGCATACTTTGTTACATATTTTTTAGATGAAAACATAAAAAAATCATTAAGCTGCACAAAAGTTATGAAACAATGCATTGACTAAACCTACAGATATAGCAACGCAATTTTCGCAATTCCTATACACAGCGGCTGTTTGTGCACAACCGACAGCGATTTTTCCATACAATTCCAAACGAAATGTTAGAATAATAGAGCTATATATTGAACATGTTATTTATATAAACAAATCAATCCACATTCCGAACATTTCGTTCGAAATTCTATTATAAAATCGTTGTCGGTATGCATTTTGCACAAATAACTCCTTTGAATAGAAGCTTCCAAAAATTGCATTACTATATCTACTGGGTCAGTCTATTCACTGCTATGAAGAAAATATGGGTCAAATGGTGTGAACTATAATATGAAAACATTTATATCGATTGGCGCTGTAATATCATAGTAATATTTGTGAATATGCATGCGAAATAAGGCACTTTTTTTACATACGCACGTAAAGTGATTAGAACAATTTCACGAAATTGGAAATTGTTCAGCAAATATGATTGTGTTGATAGCGAACATTACCAAAAAATACAAAATTGAGAGAGAACATATTGCATTGCTTGTAGTTCGTTTTATATAATTTATTAGTAGGATGTATGATTTGATATTTTCCATGCATTTCACAATGATATTAACTGTCTGAAATGCAATTTTGGTGAAACATCATCATTTGGATTCGAAATGGAATCAAAACGAAATTGATGTAACATAGTTTGCAACAATCGCTATTTAAAATGTCATGATATCTTTCGTTTGCATTCTATCGATTCAATTCGAAGAATGAAACCAATTTCCCATGTTGGAGCGATTCAATCCAATGAATTCCATTTGAATTGTATCTTACCGTGCGTGGCACATGAAATGTTTAATCATTGCATATTAGATACAATGTTATCTGATTCAAATCCGTTCATAAAGACAATCAGCATGAAGAGAAGATAATAATACAAAGGTTTTTTGGCGATGGAAAATGGCACGAAGTGATATTCCATTCAGTATGGAAAAAATCAAGTTAAAATTTCTTTTTGTGCATCATTTGTATGCTGTATATAAATGGGATTTGTGCACAGTGGACGTCTATTAAGATTTTAATGAAATTTTCGTTGTCAGTCTTTCTATAGTGGAAAGCAGTGCAAATTTGCAAAGCATATTTTCTATGTCAATACCTTGATTTGGTTATTTTATGGTTTTGCATCATGTTTTCCTTGAACTTCTCAAGCGTATTATTGTGTTCAAGCTCATATGATATTCATGACTGTTTTTCAATGTTTTTCAATTTCATTTTCAAAATGGCAAAAGAAAAAGAAAATACAAATCGTTACTGTCACAACGAAATTCAATATAAACAAACATAATAGATCGAAGTCTGTATTTTTCTCAAAATTCTTTTATTCATGAAGTGGTAGAATGAGACTCGCCGTCTAGAATATCGTTTTCCGATGAAAACAGAAAGTAGTTGAAATTCACTTGAAAAAGTAATAATAAAAAAAATAAACTGAAGCTAAACTTACCTTTGAAACAACATTTTCTCGCTCGAATCGCATAGATGCATAAGCAAACAAGAAGCAATACAGCTGTCAGGCATCCGCCTGCAATGCCAGCCAGATAGCTCATTTCGATTGGGTCTGCATGATGATTTTCCATCGATAATTCCCGGTATCGGTGTGTTTGTTTGGGTTTTTGCGCAATAAATAAACACAAAAAATCGAAAATAAAAGAAATGGAGAAAAAAGTAAACAATTAACAAAAGTTCTGCATAAAAAGTATAGGAATGGAAAAAAGGTCCAGATAATACAAACAAGAATCGCATGAAAAGTTGAATGGCGAATTAAAATGAGTTGAAAACAGTTGGAATTAATTATAGATAACTCTTTTGAATAATTGATTTCAGATCGAATTGAATGCAGGCAAAAAAATGTGGATTCTCGCCGCTACTTCAACATAACATTCTCAAAGAGGGGAATGCCAAATGAAGCGATGCCCACATGGGCCTTACTGTACAGCAACTCAAAGTCGACATGGAAATTAAGCACACATACCCATATCATATAAATCATCGTGGGCTTTTGAAAGAGAAAAGTGTGGAGACGTGTGTAAACATACGCATCATCGCTCTTTTTATGCATTCATTCAATGGTACACATTCAATAATTAATCAGATGGTAATTTTTCGCTTTTAATATTCGCATACCGATGTATGTGCATGTGTTTGCAAATGAGTGTGTGTGTGTGAAATGTGTACGCTGTACGGTATGTTGTATATGGTTGGTTGTTATATTTGAATCAGCCGTAATGGTTATTGTAGAAGTACATGCTTAATTAGTGCACAATGCTCTATGTCTGCGAACGTGTGTAAACATCTTTGTGCGTTAATGTACGTATGTGATCAATGTTGAAAAGTTATTAAATTTTAAGCAACAAATTCACCCCGTTTCACATGCTTCGCTTTTGTTTGTGTATTAGCTTCTGTTTTTGTTTGCATTGTGGCAACAACATAAATACTTTAAACACTTTTTGTTGTATTGTTTTTCTTTGTGTCAAAAATAAATTGACTTTCATGACCTCACGATATTTATATATGAACATCACTCTAATGGATTTGAGTCGAGCGATTAAGCTTAAATTATCATATCATTTTGAATTTTTAATTACAAACTAAATCGTGTTTCTATGTAGTTTTTGTTTTCCTATTTACGATATAAATTAGTAATAAGGGATTTATCGAATTTAGCTACTTTGTAAAAGCGCTTCTCCCTCTCTCTCTCTCTCTCTTCCTCTCTCTTTCTCTCTCTCTCTTCCTCTCTCTGGCTTTGTCTCTAATGAAACTTTTTGACTTGGAAACGATAAAAGCAGCTTAAAAATGTTCATCGAGCTTGTTGTGCTTTACATCCAGAAATGGAAAAGTACGAAATATCAAAAATGCAGTCAGTCATAAAATAACATCTCAAAGGCAAGCATCAACTTAAATCGCTTGATAATTATAAATAAATGAGAGATTTTCACTTTTAGTGGCAGCATTTTGTACACTGGTTAATGAGATTAAATTACTCTCCAGTTTAAATATGAGCAGCATGTAATACAATATAAACAGAAAAGGCACATACACTCACACACAAACAACACAGACTGACTGAATGACAAAGCACATGTTGTATAATATAGAAGTGAAGAAAACATTTTAAATGCGAAAAACCATTTAATTTTTCCACATCAATGATTTATCATTTTTACTCCAATGAAAATGCATAACACTTCGTCGAATAAATTACGATATGAATAAATATAAGTCGTTGGAATTGGTACACTTTACACGCAAAGTACATGATTATTTTGTAAATTTGAGAGAATTTCTCCATTCAGTTTGAGAACATTATCGAAGGAATACGTCGAAATGGAAATTTTTCTTATCAATTTACGCCGTTTTTTTATTCATTTTTCCATCGTCACAAGAGAATCAAACGATGTGCGCATAATTTATTTTTTAATTTTTTTTTCTTCGTGTGAATTATTGATTGCGATTACAAGTGTTCATACGCAAGCAGAACGATTCCAGAAGATTCTATCGCATTCAAATGTATTTTGTTTATCAAATTTTTCTGTCTAAGTGTTTTTCTTAGAAAACGTACTACGAACGCTGCATTTTGAGTGCATGAATTCATCAGAAATGATGAAGAAAAAAGGTAGAACTTTTGCATGATATGTTTCATAATTTAGTTGCTGAGCGCAATTGCGTGAATTTCGAGGAGATTCTCAAATGGATAGTAAATATTATCTCCGGTTATAAGTTTCACTGAATTAGTAATTTCATGAATGCGTTTGTACGGTTGTGTATATTATTATATTTGATGGCTTCATGGTGATTGCTCGTTTAATTAACAGATAAACAACAATTTTTCTTATGAGAAGTGTTTGTTGTGCTGATTGTTATTGTTATTAGTAGAAAATGTTTGTTGTAATTCAATTGGACATACTGTCCATTGCATTCCAATATCTAACTAAGGCATTCCAGTCAATTTTGATTCGATACGAAAAAGCATGAATGCATATTATTTCAATTCAATTGACATGAATCAGTCAATAAATTAATTGAATTGCATGAATTCTAGGCTATTTGAAATCACGATTGCATTCCGTCTAAATTCGAATTCCTTGCATTCGGCCGAATACAAAAGAAACAAAACGTTTCAACTCATTGAAATTAATTCCGATTTAAATTTGTAGTGAACAACAAAAGATGAAGAAGAAGACCAAAAAACTAATCAACTGCAATTGAATAAACTATAAAATTAAGTAGATGTAATAAAATAAAATTGGGAAAAGCACCTGTGAACATACCCTCGACGACTAAAGTGATTGCGTGTCGATCGATGCCGCGCTCATTTTCAACAACCAAATAATATGGTCGCGAATCATGAACATCGACATCAGCAATGCGCAATGAGGCCAAATAGCAATCTTCTAGCGAATGTTGCGTTACCTCATCGACATGATATCGTTCTGCAACGAAAAGAAAAGATGCATTGAATATCGTACGTTAAATAAGGGTAACATTCCAAAAGAATCAAGCCGAACAAAAAACAAACATCAAATTTCATGTAAACCAATGTCTGTGAGAACAGATTCTATGTCATTTTGCTTTGTTCAATTTGAGACAATTTTTTTGTTGAGAAAATATATATATGTGTGTATACCGAATCCAGCGCCGGCTTCTAAACGTAATGAACCCCATTCGAAAGCAACATGACGAGGACGGGGGTCGGCACAAACGATTAGTGTTAAAATTGCTTCGTCGCCTTTTCGAAAGATTACTGTGTTCGCAGATGGATGCGAACGCAATATTTGTGGTGCACCTAATTACATACAAACAGGTGAAATAAGTTCAGTTAGTTTTAGTTTGAATTAGTCGTTTTATAATTGCATTTTGTTTTTGTTTGATGCAGTGTTCGATTCAAATGAGAACAAGTTCACTCACCGACGACTTGCAGTGAGACAGGGTCAGATGCAACTGTTCTCTCTTGACCGTTTATGGTATTCGTTGCACGACATTCGTACTCGCCCTGATAATCATAAGTTACATTGTCAATGACCAAACGTGATTCATGACCTCGTTCCAAGTAAACAGTCTTCAATCTAAATGAAAAAAAAAAAAAACATAAATAAGTTGCTTCAATTAGTATTTTCTCAAATTTTCACGTGAATTTTATTGTACGTTGAAAATGCTTTTTTTTATTCAGTATATATTGTTCAACTTACTTTTGATACCATTTGTATGTCGCTGGGGGGTTCGATTCAGCCACGCAATCAAACGCTGCTGGACTATAGAGTGGAGCTGTTGTTAATCGATCTGGTCCTGCTGATATAATTTTTGGTGGATCTAGGTCATATAATAAACAAAAAAAAGAGGATTAGTTTATTTAAAGTTGCGTTTAATTTATCATTTATTAAATGCAATGAAAACAAAAATGGACTTTAATTTGAATTGGTTCCGAGAATATTCGAGAACATAATAATTTATGGCATCATTGAGTAAAATGCATGTAGAACAGCGATGAAAAACGTCATTTGGCTTGTAAATGTAATAAAACTTGACAAATATTCAACAATTAGCTATGAAATGCTTATGCAAGTTTCCATACACCCATGTAAATGGAAAATGGGGGAGACAAAGTGAACAGTGCGAGTAGTTGCCATTCAAAGTACTGAAAATTAACTTTGCACTCAAATAAACATTCAGAGTAATTTATCAAGTAAACATGCTATACAAACTTTATTGCACGAAACTAACAACAAAGTCGTTCGTTTTGTTTCGTTTGAAAAGATTAAATGTTCATTTAAACGTGATCGATCTCAAAATAAAACGATATGAAATGTTTTCAAGCAGTTCAATAAATGATTCTTGACATTTAAAGCTTTAACGGTAAATATTGGTACGCTTAAATGGAAACTCAAAAGAAATTAAATTTTAAATTATTGTACATTTGCATATCGTCTGATAGATGCTCTTCATTCGCTATTGCCGTCATCCGATGCGAATGTTTAATCTTTATTTTTGCATTTTCTATTTAATCATATTTTCCTTCGTTTCAAACGATCCTTCCGTTTCTGTCTGTCCGGTAATATTTTATATTCACGGGCACATTTCCGACGCGTCGGTATCTCTTCCAAGCTATAACTTATGTCTGTACGGTGTTTTTTTTTCTATGTGACTTTTTCCCAAAGCAGAAAAGCTCATATTTACCACGCATCATTTTCTCCATGAACAACAAAAAAATGTGATGCAGAAACGTACAAATAAATGTTTCTGTCGTGAAACAAACTCGGTTTGAAAATCGATTCGATCATCGTTATGCTTGTGATGCGTATCAAAAACGTTGTTCAATATTGGCATTTGTCCAATCATCGACAGAAGAAAAGCGCGAATTTATATACGTAGACAATCGCAGAGAAAGAGACGCAAAGTGAAAATATCGGCGGGATTTTTTTTTCGCTCTTTCCTTCAGCTGCTTTTGTGTGAACGGGAATTTATTGCGTAATAAAGATATCAGATAAAAAAATATTTATATTTGTATATTCACATTTATCGCAATGTGTGTTCAGCGCTTGTATCGCATTTATTTGAACAAAATGTACTTATATCTCGCTCGATATGTGAGTAATGTGGATGTGTTGTTTGGTGCAAATGCACGAATGCGGACTACGAATTGAATTTTACGTTGAATTTTTATAAAATGGTAGAAGCAATGGGCGCACAACAAAAAATCTCGAATAAAATGAGCGTAATACGGATATAATATAAGCACGCACGGCACTGTGTATGCAAAAGCGAAAAGTGCTTCGAAAACGATTCGATGACTGCTAAAAAAGAGTTGGCTTTTCGTTGTGCCTGATTTGTCGGTATGAAGCACGCGAGAAAGAAAATGCGCAAAGTAATATGTGTGCTCTGGTAAAATGTGTGTATGTGCGCCACTGTGTATCTGGATAGGCAATAACAGCCAATTTCATTCGACGATTTCGTTTCCTTTTCCGATAAAAATCGACATAATTTTCACTATTTTTCCGCCTTTGAACATTTCAATTGGTTTTGATTGCGAAAAATGTCTTCTTCTTCCCATTTCAGGCACTTGAAAACTTCTGCGAAAAATAAAATTGCCATTTTCATTTTAGAAAAAGCTTGCACGTTCTTTTCCTCGTGCAATTTCGAAAAAAAAAATCAAGAAAATTGCATGACATTAAGTCATTTGCAGTTATGTCATTTCTTCAAAATAGCGTCTTCTTTTTAACGACGATGATGATGACATCAATAAACGACACTGCACATGTCCTATATTCACAACACAACAACTGAACAATCTATTAAACGGTACAAAGCACACTGTGAACCGTAATAACATTAGATTATGTATAAATTTTCATAAATTAAACGAAATAACTCTATTTTTGAGGCAAGTGATTTTCATCTCATTCGCAGTTTGACTACTCTTTTGTTTTCTCCAACCGCACACAATTATTTTCATTTGTTTGCATTTTACTTACATTTAATATCCAATTGAACAGATAATGGTTCCGAGCTTCCCACAGAGTTTTGTGCTTGGCATGTGTACAATCCAGAATCTCGTCGTCCAACTGGTCTCAGTTGTAACGTTTCCTGTGCACGCACCATCGCAAATGCAACGGGAGTGAGTAAGAGAGAGAGAGAAAGAAAAAGAAACATTGCAATTGTTATTATTTTGTGTGATTTATTGTCAAAACGTTGAGATAAGAAACATGCAATGAACGTGTTTTGGTGAACAAAACGGCAGAAACACAAAACCAATGGCAACAAACCAAAACCACCAAAATTTGCTTTCAACTGCTGCAAAATTTGTACGTACTAGTACATGTATTAGTGAAATTAAATGTTTTGGCTATGTGTTTCAGTTTAGAAAATGTAGCTTCCGACCAAATTGAATTTTTGGCTTTGCAATGTGCGAAAGCATACCAGTTCATGGCGTCAATAAATTAATATTGAACAACTGGAGTAAATGGAGGCGAGAAAAAAAACATATTACTTACTTGTAGACTAGCTATTTCCGAGCGTCCTGCACGTTTCCATACAATACTGGCCGGTGGATTTGCATCCGCTTCACAGCGTAAAACCAATGAGTCTTTACCTTCTTCGAGATCGATTTGTGGTGCACCGAGCAATCGAACTGTAGGTGGGTCTATTCGGATTGTTATAAAGAAAATGCTCAATGAAACGAAACAAAACAAAATAGAAAAGCCGAAAAATGTGTCACACACAGAGACAGCTAAATTACTATGGACCATCGTTCCATTACAAATGCATCTGAATATGCACGGATGTCATCGACGAGTCGACGACGACAACGACGAAGCTCGCACAAAATATTTTAGCCATATTTTGGTTGATTCGTATTTGGAATGTACAATGTGCATTTCAATACGCTGCAAGCTTGTTATGGAAAGTGGTTTTGTAATGGAATTGAATATTGAATCAGATGGCCAATAGGAGAAAAAGAAACATTTGGCAATTGTTACTTACATTTGACATCCAATTTCGCTTCAACCGATAACGATTTGGCTGCATATGACTCATGAAGCGCAACACATTTTATCGTTTCGCCGTGACGCTCCCGAGTGGCTGGTATTTGAACAATTGATGTGGCTGACCACGTTCGATTATTACCTGTTTCACGTTTATTTAGTTGAGTATTTAACGGCTGTATTTCTTGATCACCTGCATTAATGTTCCGTTCATTTTGACAACGACACACCAAAAAATGCAAATGATACAATTGATGAAATGCGCCCAGTAGTTTCCGCAAACATTCAATAGATACACAGCGAGTAAAGTGAGCAAAAAGGGACACAAAAAATGAAAAAAAAATATTTCGATTAATTTAAATGCAAATTCTTTGATACATCACACAGGCCACAACACAAAATGAAAATTAATTCCGTTGTGCATTCATTTGATATATCATATTTACAAATAGAAATAATGCATTATTACATCAATAATATGACCACAGACAACCATTTGATGTCAGGTTGGAATGTCAATTGGAATATTTGCAGCTTCAAATTAATTTCCGAAACGAACAATAAATCTGAATTAAATTCGATTATGACATTTTTATCGCTCCATCCAAAAGTCGCATAATTATTATCAAGGTTTAATTAAAAGTGCATAAAAGTGAAAAATGCTGTTACGTATACGCGTCGAGAGTGTGAGTAACTTAATAGCGAACTAAAAAGGATTTCGGTGAAAAATAAGTCAATTACGTGCTCATAATTTGCATTCTTGACATTTGTTTTTGGGCGTTTCCTTAAATCGTCTATCATTTTCCATAAATTAGTAAAAGAGTTTTTTTTTATTTCATATCGTTTGAAACTTACAAAAATTTTGAAATTTTTCTGCCGCCAATTTAAAATTGCACAAAAAATGTTCCTTTACAAGGCGAAAAGTTTTCTTAATTCGTTTTTTTTTTTGCTCTCGCCATGTTTCTTGATAGCATTTTAATCACGACCATATATTTTCCATTTCCCTATCGACAAAGCGTAGAGAAGACTTTTCATACTTTGGAAAACATAAGGAAAATACGGCGAGAGAATGAGAAAAATTTATTGGCCATTTAATCGTTCGCTCGTGCTGCAAAACAGATTTTATGATAAATATAATAATTTTTTTCTTTCTGCCGCTTTTTTTTCCTCCGTTACCATCGAAAAGAACGATCTGCTGTGTGGTTAATGAAATGAATTCAAAACGAAATATGTAAAAGCAACAGCCGCTGGAGCGAAACCTTATTCCCCACATCGAACGAGAAAAAAAAACGCCGAACACGGAAAAAAGGGAAAGAGAGAGTGAAATCAAAGTGCCGTTTCAAGTAAACGGTATTTTTCCATATAGTTTGAGTTAAACCCGTTTGCATAGAGCACTAAAAACGTAGCATGGATTCGATAAAATGAATGTTCGTCATAATTCATCCATGTGTGCAGCCCTATTGAGAATCATGGGGATGGTATGTGGCAACAGTTCTGGTTTCCACAGCGATGAGATATGAGGTCAACTCTATAAAATGTGCTGTTTTCGCATTGGAAAAAAATGGCCACATCGACAGTAACAAAGAATGTGGCCATTTAACGTAAAACAACTTAATTAAAACACAACACAACAGAAAACTTTTGCAATTCGTGCGAATGTTGGTATGTGCATGTATTATATGTATGTGGCGTGGGTTGTGTACACTCATGACGTTCAATTGTTCAACAATACTTGCCTAAGAACCATTTAAGTCGTGCAGCCGGGTTGCCTGTTAAAAAGCGAATTTTCAGAGAAAAAAAGAAAAATAAATAAATATTCTGCTAACAACGAAAGAAAGAAAGATTATTTCCATTTCTACATTACCATAATGCGAAACACAGCTTACGGTTGCAACCGCTTTCGAATCAACAGTTACATTATGACCAGGTGGTACTTGAATGCCTTCGTGTTCGATTTTCGGTCGTTGTGGTGCAGCTGAAATGAGAAAAGTAAATACATTTTACTACATATATTGTACAAGTTTGTGTGTGTTTTTTAAGGAAAAAGAAGAAGTGAACGCAAAACTAGGCTCTCTGGAAAAGTCAGCATTAAAATAAGGGAACATTTTCAAACGGAAAGACGGCAAAAGTGAGAGAGAAACTTTATGGACTTTTATATTGGAATTTCGAATGGCTGGTCAAAGCGTTTCTTCCAATGAGGGCGAAGAAAATGAGATGCGACACATTGCATATAACAATAATTTGAATGGAAGACTTTTTTTGCTGTTTAAACATGGAAAATCTTCCATTCATTGTATTCGACACAAAATCCTCTTAAAGATTGTTTTAAGTAATTTTACTTAAAATTAATCCCTCCAAATCTTATTGCCACTCAATTTCGTACTACTTGTTATCCTCAGTGTTACTATCTATAATATTTTCATTGAATACAGAATTTAAATACCTTACGTGTAAGCGACTCATGAAAAGCATGTATTTACCTATTGCCGTTTTTTTTACATTTTTCTCAAAAAGACGGAATATTACAAAGCGTAAAAATTGAAACTAGTCAAAGTGTCTGAGCAAAGGTCTCCGCTCAACTTTCGTTTATTTAATGCTAAAACCAACAGACAAAAGGCATATGCCCCGTAATAGCACGGTTTGAACGTTGCTATTCTACATAACGATGCGCTTTTTGTCTTTGCACAAACAATTTTCTCACTCTAAGTTCTATGGTTTCCTACCGAAATTCCATCGTTTTGATTTTTTTCCTACTTGGATCATTTTTTTTTTCGTGCCAGCCGTATAATAATAATTTTTCGGTTTTAATAAGAAAATTCTGTGCGGCGTGTTTATTGTATGTTTATGATAGTTCCGCGATGTTGTTACATCCCATTATGCTACGATACACGTTTATATATTTCATATATATTTTTGCCATACTCTCAGCTTATTTCATTTAAATTTTGTTGTGGAAAACATGCAAAACAGAGACTTTAAAACGCGAGATGTATTCGATACAAAGGGTATAAAAATATTCTCAAGGAAAAAAATATGACATCGTCCTTTTTTATCATTCAAAGACATCGCCGAGCCACGAAAATAAAATGCTCGAGTTTCTATTTTTGGTATACGATACCAAGGAACCAAACTATAAATATAACGAAATTGCGTTGCACTGCATCCGCAGCATGCTCTTTTACAAACGGCGCGTTTTTTTGTGCTCCTATTTTTCACTGTCTCTGTCTGTGAAAATATATTGTGTCTGTGTATGTTTTCGGATTCAGTGAATGTTGTTGCGTCGCTTTTTTTATTTTCCTTACAAATCGAAAGAGCTATTTTTCATCTTTGTGCTTTTGCACGTGGTTTGTTTCGTTAGTTTTCGTTGTTTTCTTTAATTTATATCTAGTGTTTGGCTGGTGTTTACGCGGAAACATTGAAGTTGAGAAAACACAACAACCTAAGGAGGTGGCCTTTTTCTGAAAGATGAAAAAGAATGAACTCAAAAATGCCTCGACCAAAATTAATAGGTTATTTTCTTTTTTTTAGTTCCATTGAGAACCATTTCACGCTCTCTCTCTCTCTTTCTCTTTCTCTATTTATCTCTCTTTTCGTCTGATGGTATGAAATGAGCAAAAGCAAGTCTCATAACGAAGAAAAAAACACCAAAGAACTTTCTTTTTAGCATTGAGTTTTTATATTTTGAACTAAGAAAGGAACATATGCTTTGCTCACATTTCACCTTTGACTTTTCAAAGTACTTTTGTGACGCCGTTACTGTACAACTGTAACAGTAGAGACATTCTAAGGCAGTCAACCATCCAATCAACTGGAATAAAAACTAAACAACGCACACAAATAAAGTTAAAATGAAAACTGTTATTTGCTTAATTGTCGATATACTGATCGATGCCCACCACTAGGGGGAAAGAACAAAATTTATTGAATTTTTATTTGGGGTTATTGCACGAGTATTAACATCTATTTACCGTATTGAACGATATTTACAAATATTGAACGATATTTACAAATATTGAACGATATTTACAAATATTGATCGTATTGAGTCATATTGTTGAGACGTAAATACTTGTCAATACGTGTAAATACTTGTCAATACTGGAAATGAATGTAAATACGCGTAAATAAAAATTTCGTTTGTCAAACCTAATGTCAAACTGTCTTATCGACTGAATTATTCATACAAAAAACTCTAAAAAGTATACTTTTTGTAAATAAAAAATAAAAATAAAAATTTTTTTTAATGTTTTCTAGCGGAAATTAATTTTCTTTTTAATTTTGCTGGGATTTGTGCGGTGATTATTCGCTGATTATTAAATCAAAAATAAATATGCGTAACATAACCTCACTTTTAATTACGTAATTAAAATTTACGTAATAAAGTATTACGTACGAATTTTTTTATTCATTTATTTATATGTAAATATTTTGAACGCATTTGTTTACGGTCGAGTACATCAATTGGCATTCAGTTGTGACTATCACTTGTTTATTCGTACTTCTTTTAAGTTAGGAATTTCCAATTAATTTCATCCACAAACGAACGCAATCTGAATCGTCAACTGACGACTGTTTAGTCTCTAAGATTAGTTATGATGTCACAATTCGATCTAATTTCAATTTCGTGCGATACGTTTTTTTAGAATTATATTTCTTGCGCTTTATGTTTTGGCAAGTGATTTTCAGGGCAAATAAAAGATAACGTACATTAGCTCGCATTCAAATAAATTGCGATTTATTGCTTAAAAACGTAATATATGATTATGGTTCATTCGACAAATCGAAACACGCGACTTGTTTTTTGTTCGGACTACCACAATTGCGATAATCTCTTTCATTTTCTCTCACAACATTCCACACTATCAGTTTTAAATGAATTAATTTCATCAATTGCTATTTATAAATGTGTCGATATTTCAGCTGTTACATTGGCAACTGTTTATTTGAGCGATGCACAACAACAGGAGACAAATGGTTGTAACACCAACTGCAGCTCTGAATGGAACACCCAAATATGCGCAACAAATGATGAAGGCAAGACCAAACTCTTTCCCAGTGAATGCGTCATGAAATCAGAAAACTGTTTGAAGAAATCAAGTAAATTACATTTCAATTCAATTGTATTCCAAAAAAAGTCTCATAATTTATTTTAATGTTTTAACATTTCAATTGTAGAGTATATCAAAACTGGACCGGCTGAAGGTGGAAGTTGTCCATAAATGTCCACATTAGATTTCGCTTTCAACAAGGAACGATGAAGAGAGAGAGAGAGAGAGAGAGAGAGAGAGAGAGAGAGAGAGAGAAAGAAATAAACAATAAAATAACATAAAAACGAATGAAAATAAACATAAAATGAAAAACGTAGGAAAATGTTTTAAATTATAAAATTGTATTTCGATTTTTTAGTCTTAGATTATTATTTATACAAGCCAATCTAAACAAAAATATATTATACTAAACTTTAACGTTTTTTTTTCATTTCCAAGCCAAGTGAAATCGGCTAATACAACATATAACCATAGTAATATGGTACTTTTGTATTCGCATTATCTTGTTGTCGTCGAATTGCAAATCATATTGGAAAAAGAGTTATTTTTGACGCTTAGCAATCAAATTCAAATATATATATATGTGAATGAATTCAACCGGAACCTAGTTCACTTTTTGTTAGCCATTCATTGATTGAGAGTCGGGTGCTGTTGTTCACGTCACATTAGAAATAGGCATGTAATGACCTTATATGGATTATGAATAATAAAGTTCACATAACACGAGATTGGCTCAATCAAAATGATTCAAACGCTTTCAATCACATTTTTACACAGCAGTGCTTGTGGAAAACTACTAAATAACAACAATAATGCGTAGACATGAAATAAATTGATTATTTAAAAAAATGGAACCGTTTTTTTCTCATATTTCTCCAATTATAGTTTCATTGCATGGAACAAATTTGATTTTTTTTTTGTTTGTAAATAAGGCGCTTTCTTAAATATCTACCATGATACCTTGTAGTGTTTCTTCTTGGATTGATTATGGTTGGCATAATCTTCTTCGTCAAAATGTTCTTTATCGTGGCCGTGCTTTTTGGCGTAGCGCTTGTCCTCACGATCATCGTATCCCTTTTTTAATTTTCCATTTTTCGAAAGAATTCCGTCGCTGTGTGCACCATCATGATGATGATGATCATCCGAGCTGCCTTTGTTGTAGTCATGGTTTTGGTACTCGTTGCCGAATTTCTTGAATTTACCGCGATGGTCAGCGTCATCATAGAATGTGTGCACTTTTTTATATTCGTCTTTGTGGAAAATATTATGGTAACCAGTTGTTTTAGAGCCTTTTTTATGCAATTTTTGTTCATTAAACTTACCGCCTTTATCGCCACGTGAGCTCTCATGATGCTTTCCATGGCCGCTTGATGTATCGTATGCAGCCGCTTTCTTTGCCTCATTCTTGTCTTGATTTTCCAAATGGTGTTTTTCATCATAATGCTTTTTACGCCCTTTGCCAAAACTGTCGAATTTATTAAAGCCCTTATCGGTTTCGAAACCTTTTCGCTTTCGACCCTCTCGATTGTACGTTGCGCCACCAGTTTTTACAAAACCCGATTCATGGACATTATGACCACCCTTGTCAGATTTTTTATTCGACTTATGACCACGACGTTTCTTCTTGTCAACTTTTTCATCTTTGTCCTCATGCTTTTCGTGCACTTTCTTCTCATGTGATTCGTGTTCAGAATTATCGTCGTCTTCGTGTCCATCGCTTCCTTCACTACTTTCACTCTCGCTCTCGCTTTTCTCGTTGCTTTCATCATCACCCTCAGCATCATCGCTACTTTCACTTTTATGTTCGGAACTCTCTTCTTCTTCTTCCTCTTTGGATGGCTCGGGTTCTTTATGATGTTTTTTCGGCGGTTCATGCTTTTTGGGAGGTTCATGCTTTTTTGGAGGTTGATGGTTTTTCGGTGATTCA